GAAAAGAAAAGGGTACAGACCTTTTGCAGTCATGTGACTGCTGTCTGTTTAAGCAAATGGTGTAGGGCTTTATGACACCTTGGGTGCCATAATAATACAGCAAGCTATATAGGCTACTGCAGAGATGTAATACAAAATTTCTTTAAAAAGTTTTCTTGTTGGAGGGTGGGATTCCTATAATTTGCCAGCTAGCTTGTTTTACCGATTCACGACTGCCGTTCGTCGGAAAGCCCCAACTTTGCCTACCACGTCTTATCTGGGCTGTTAGAAGTAATTTCCAACAGGGGGTGCTGCGAAAATTTTTGTTTTTTTTATTTGGATAAAAAATCTCCTATGAGCCTGCAGACCTATTCAAATACAATAAAGAGAAATAAATATATAGCTGGTTTCACAGAATGTGAAAGCATTTCATTAACACAACACTATGAAGGAAATTTGAATCTGGGGCTGGCCCTGCTGGTGCAATTGCCATCAGAAGCAGGCTGACAGTCTCCTCACTCTGGGTCTCTGCAATGTCATTGTTGCGGTACTAGTGTTCTTCTTTACTGGTTGTGGTTTTCCCAAAAAATCCGAAATGCATTTCTGTGCCAAATTTCCTACTTGTTCCTGACAACAGACTTTTCCCGGAGGCCCAGGTCTAATTGCCTTTGAGTCAGAAGTGGAAGCAAATCATCAAAGCAAAAACATTGTGTGCTTACCCAAAAGTTAACCACAGGATTATGTACAGGATTACACATAGGCTGCCATTATTTGCATTTATAATCCTCTCCTGCTGCTGTGGCTGTGTGTCTGCTTAGATAAAGAAAAAATTATCTCCTTTTCTTTTTTTTCTTTTTTTTCCAGTGTCCTGTCTGGCAATATAGCAATAAGTATAATTGTCTTGATGCCAAAAAGAGCCCAACAGATTTTACTTTCACAAGTGGAGCAGTAGGGCTATTGCCATAGTGTTCCGCTTGTTTCATGCATATAAATTGCTTTATTATAATTATGCAGGGAGTTTTACAGATTATATGGACACTGCTTTGTAAGTAGAACAGAAGAGTAAAAACAGGAAAAAAAGTTGAAAGATGAAAGAAAGAGGAGATAGAAGGGAGATAATGATAAACATTTTCAGTCTGATTCATCACCTGCAAAGAGATGTATAGAACAGCACAACCAACAGACATGGAACGAGACATACAATAAAGTAACACCTTGAAACTATCGCTGAAGTAGTATTATTTAATCTGACATGTACTCTGTGTTCCCTGAGGATAAGAATAATAATTATGATAATAATAATAATTATTAATAATAATAGAATAATAATAATAATGAAAAAAAAAATTATCTCCTTTTCTCGAGAAAACCACCTTCAAAAAAGTATCGGAGGGACATGACTGCTTTTGGCTTCCATAGTGCAAAGTATTTTAATAAATCTTTTAAAAACATGCACCAGTAGGGAGTGCTTGCCCCACTTCCTGCAGCAATGCATCTTATACGATTATTTGATGAATAGCCAATCTTACTTTTTTGGAAAAACTAATAAAGGTTCATAAAGTTTAGATACCTTGTGTTAGGATGGGTCAGGGCAGTCAGCAGACATACTATGATCTCGGCCATGATTACACCTAGTGTGTTACAGTAGCTATTCAGATCAGGAGGTTTTCTTCCGGATGGGAACCTTACGTAATCATTGACAAACTTAAAATACAAAGATTATGCTTATCCTGGCAAGGGGGGCAAGTAAAACATGGCCGTGTGTTCCGTCATTATGGGCCATGTGTTTCCTGTTTAGGAAGCAAGTGAGACAGACTCCAAATCGTAGCAATGTCCCAGCTAGAATATAGACAATGCAGTAATATAAGTTTTTGTGAAATAAGGCTGCAGAATCAGTAGCGGTCCATGACTCCAGTGTGTCTCAGTCAGGCCTTCTGAACATACGAGCAGATAGAGATCTATAAAATGCTGGACAAGGAACTCAAGAAAATTGGGCACAGTGCTTGTTAACAAATGAAGGTGTCAGCAAACACTTGGTACTATAAAGATTTGTAACCCAGTCATTGGGCTGTTGGTGGTCTCTTTCCATATTAAGTTTACCAGTGTTCTTTTGCTACATTTCACCTTCAGCTGTTGCCAACACTGTGTATTTGATGTCATCATTTCGTTGTGGCTGAACTACAGATACAAAAGCAAAATCTATTTGGAGCAGTAACAGTTGACATTATTCATGCCTCATTCTCCGCCACACTACCAACTTTTTAATAATTTGTCTGCTGCTGTACCAGATAAAACTAAACATTGAAAATGTTTTATCTAAATTTGAAGTACTCATACATCTCTAAAGTGAGACTCCTATTGGGAAATCTGATTCCAGTTTTGTTTTGCAGAATGTTAAAACAGATTGTAGTAGGAAATTACCAAGTAATTTGCCTAAATATGTTTAAACACTTTTGAAAATGTTTCATAAATTGCTTGACAACTCAAAAAAACATTTGGAAGGAAGCTAGGTGTCTTGAGTGTCAGTAGACTTAAGGCTAAGGATCTAAATTGCTGCAAACATTGATTGCTTATAAATGTTGCAATCTTTTCTACGGTTGTCACAGTGGAAAACTAGCCTGACGTAGTCCGACTCAATTCTAGTCAGAATATGAGTCCGATACTGCTCCATAGAGCTGTGATTATGGGGCGTGTTTTGAACGAACCAGGAAAAAAAATGCCTCTGCACTCAATTGGATAGACCTACAACCAATAAGAGCAACGGACTGCGTGACGTATCTTAAGCGAGGCATAGTTGTTGTCCACAAAAATCAAAGCGTGCAGTTTCACGCCTAGAATAAGAAGATGAGACTTGATCGCGTTTCTCTGTTCCTCTTTTAAAATTAATTTGCTGTCGATATCTTCTAGAATAGACCTAATAGCAGAATCTACTCACCCAAACTCTCCAGCGGCAGCCATTATTGTTGTCACCCAAGCGCGCATTGGTCACGTGGTTGATAACGTTACTCTTGATCATCTGTCCATCATCGTATAAAGCCCGCCCTGACAATTTGATTGGATCGCCTGACAGTGGGCTTTAATACTTGCGCTACTATGGAGCAGAGCCAGACCGAACTTCCCCGAACTCAAACCTTGTGGGCGGGACTAAGTTCGGACTGGCACCCAGGCTAGTGGAAAACATTAGAACATCCTCAAAATATCCTTATAAGTACTGGATTTGTTTAACTGGGGTTAAAAAACAATGTTAATATATGTGGTTTGGATCAATGTGCAACAGTTTTAAGGGAATGATCACAAGACCTGACGTGGCTTTAATGTCCTCTTGTCTTCCTGTAGTATTGAAAGGTGGAGCTTGTTCAATGGGACACTAAATGTGAAAGTAGAATAATATCTTTACATACAACATTTAGATTGAACACAAATCAACATGATTTGCGTAAGTTAAGAAATAAGATCTTAAACAAAAATAGATTCCTTAGGACAGCACATTTAGAAAGTCAAAAAAAATCAGTAATGGTTTAAGAGACCTGAAGGATTTTGGTTGGGGTTAAAATGTTGGATACAATTTCTTGCCCCCAAAAAAGGAATACATAACCAGATTAACTGTATGAAAAAGAATCTCACAGTAACGGAACAACCTAGAGCTATTTTAATTCATTGAATGGGATAGAACTTTCTGAAAACAAACCCCTACACTAGTAGATGCAGAATACAGACAATTACCCCAGAAGCAACCTGAGATGCAGTTTTTTCTTTCTTTTGTGCCATTTAAAATGATAAAGTTTACTAACTTTATAATTTTGTCACTTTATGGGCTCTGTCCCCTGCAAACCTCTTCTTTCTTAAAGTAAAACACAGCAGGACTGTGCAGTTGACATTAGGTCATTTCTGAGAAATGTAAACATCATTACAGATGTTGCTGGAATTACCCTCTCACCTGTAGTGTAATAGCCTGTTATAACCTGCTAGATTAGGTATCCTGGTAGAACTCAGAATGTATTACTGCCATTTATTACTTCATGAATTCTACATAAATGGGCAGAAAATGGAAGATTCTTGGGAGTTCTTTAATAATAAGACCTATTAACACTTAAGCTAAACATTTGCACCCCTCACATTCTGTTCTGCATGCAATTCCTATCAAACATCTGCTATTGATTTATCAACTTTTTTAACCCCTAGTTCAGGCAGGATTTATGTGTTTGGGTTTCACTGGACAACATCCAAATACAAGTAGGTTGCAATTCTTACACACACACAAGTTCAGGGAGACCAGTCAACCAAACATGCATGTGTTTGGACCATGAAGTATCTGTGGATATTTAATTCTTTAAATTTTGTGATTTTATATATATGAGAAAAAGTTAATTGTGTTTCTGGTACAATATATGAGATAAATAATCATGAAAGAGATATTCCTGAAGAAACAACCTTTTCTGGTTCCCAGTACAGCTTAATAGTTATAGACTGTGTCAGACTACAGTTACTGTAAGTTATAATGTTGAGCTGCATTTACTTGACTTTACTTTACTTGATGCAAGATCAAAAATAAAAATCTAGTTGTTCAAGTTCTCTAACAAAAACCCTTATGTTTCTTAAGCTAATGCATATGTCCATTATAGAAAGGTTAATAGAAAAAAAAGTATGTTCTAATTTTTTTGGTATCCATTCTTACCTGCTGGAAGAGGCTTAGCTAAACCGGTCTTTCAGGTTTATTTAGTTCAACCGTTTTTTATATATCTCAAAGATCAAAACCAATATGTGCAACGCATATCTGTAAAACTGTGTAGTGTGTCTTGTTTGATCATACACTGCTGAACTACACACTGCACAAGCTGAATTTTAACTTAACTTTGCACATGTGTTTTTTTTTTCTTTTTACATAAAATATCAATCTATGATATCCAAATCTATACGATATAAATATGGAAAAAACCTAACATTTGGCCATTATATTAGATTTAATAAACTCTTCAATAGTAAGAAAAAAAATACAAACCTGTAATTATTTTGTTTTTCAGTTTCAAATTGCTTGACAAATAATCAGTGGAAGGAGTTTCCCATCAGGTAGGTCAACCATCTCATTTCCTTTAGTCTTGGGTGTGAATTGCAAGGGTGTTCTTAAAATATTTACAGTGAGGGAAACAAATATTTGAACAACCAGGTAATTTTACAAGTTCTTCTTCTTACAAATCATGGAGGGGTCGGACATTTTCATCTTAGGTGCATGTCCACTGTAAGGGACATAATCAAATTAAGAAAATCTGGAAATCACTATTTATAATTTTTCAATAATTCATTTGCATCTTGCTGTTAATGAGTATTTAAACACTTCTCATTCAAACAACAACTCTGTTCCCTATAGAACAGTTAATCTGCTTCTAAAAAGCAGCATGACCAGAGTTCATCAGTCCTTTTCCCAATCAAACACAGATCAGCGGTCAGACAGCAACGTCCAAGCCTTATTCTTATAAGAAGAACTTTTTGAAACCTGCTTTTTCCCCAACTAATGTCTCCCCCTGTAATACATCTCTGAACTTCATGGTAATGTCTCTCTTGATGGTGCTGCCACTGACTTAATTCCTTGTGGGTAAACAGACGACCATACACTGAGAACCCCAGTATTATGGTGCGTTCACACCACAAGCAAGTTCCGGGAGCCCCTCAGGTAGTTCACTGCTCTGCATTTCAGATACACAGTGTTTACACCCTGTACTGCATCATCAAATAGGTAGAGCTTCAGCTGCCTAAAGCTGAAACCCCAATGACGTGAGAAAATCTCAGCAAATACACTGAATGGTTAGTGCGTTAGAACAGGTTTGTGAATGTAAAAAGAGCAAGAAAAAGTGGCCACTTTGGTTCATCCAGATGCAGCTGTGATTCAGTCTGATTTGGAGGGACTACCTTGTAAATTTAACCCTGCAGAAGGCATAAATGCTGGGCAGAGGGCAGTGACAGACCGGGGTCTGTGCTGGAGACAAGGGAGGATGATGAATAGTCCTTCTAGGACTAAATTAAAATGTCTTTTTTTAAAGCTACATAACACCCTCTTGAGAGCATTCCTAATTTGCTCCTTTATCAACATTATTTATGTCTGTATTCCCTTTTATGTGAAAAAAACATTTGCCTTCAATCAGTCCCTGATTGGCTGCCGTGTTGCAATATAACACAAAAGTTAAGCTCGTTCAAGTTTAGTGATCACCGCTCTGCTCACTCCATATGGTGTTGCTGTTTGGCAACACCTCAGCTCTACCTAATAGCACGAGATAAGAGTGAGGCAGTGAATGCCCTCCCCGCTGGCCGCTTCCCCGCCCTTCCCTACGTGGTCTGTATAAGAATTCTATGTGAATCCAACGCCACACTCACTGCAGACACCTCTGACGGCATCATAACACTAATTTATAATTTTTTCGGTAAGATCTACTGGGTTTCCCTTGCTCCTCTGTTTAAGAAAGTCTTTAAGAATCCATAGGACCAAACCACTCTCAGTATACCGCAACTCTGATGACTCAGCCCACACTCTTTAGAGAAGAGTGAGTGACCCTTTGAAAACTCCCAGCTCTCCTCTAGCAAATACTTCACAGGGTTCACTGATTCTTAAAGGGCTTAGTGGATCTCAGCATACAGCTAACAGGCATGTTAAGCAGTCACTAAAAAAAGCTATTTTCATATTATATCGAAAGTTTTTACATTGCTATGCAAGATGGATGCACATTTAGGACAGCTTGGTTTCATTAGTTACATTGAAAATAGATATTTTAGATAGGTGTCTATAGTAATCATCAATTAGCTGACTGAGTATGAAGTAAAATATTTTTGATTTTGCTTTTCCCTCTTTTCTGTATCCTACTCAGAACAGACCATGTCATCTGGAACCTTTCACAAAATCCTCAAACCCCTTTTGTTCACTACTTTTATTGTTGGATGCTTTGTGATTGGCTTTTTAATGTATTATAAGCCCTCCACTGGCTGGTTAAATCATCTGTTAAAATTCTCAGATTCTGTAACCAACAGCCATGATGTCTTTACCAAAAAGAATGAGTCATCCAATTCCAAAAATCTCATCTCTCAAATTTCTCCGGAAAAAAAGGAGAAAAACAAGACAGTCATTCTTGTCTGGCTCCTGCCCTTTGGAAGCAACCAGAAAATGGATATCTGTAGCTCTGCCTTTAACATTGAGGGCTGTTTCATTACAGCAGACAAAAAGCTCTACAACAAATCACATGGAGTCTTTTTCCACCACAGAGACATTCATAGGGACCTGTCCAACTTGCCAAAGTCACCACGGCCACTGTTTCAGAGATGGATTTGGATGAACATGGAGTCCCCAACGAACTCACCCAAGCTCCCTGGAATTAACAACTTGTTCAACCTGACTGTCAATTACCACCAAGATTCTACTGTCCAAGTACCTTACGGATCTATTATACCAGTAGAACCTCAAGAAAACTTTGTACTACCAAACAAAAACAAACTAGTCTGTTGGATTGTTAGTAACTGGAACCCCAATTATGCAAGGGTGAAATATTACAGAGAATTACAAAAGCACATTAAGATTGATGTATACGGCCGAGCCTTTGGAAAATACATCGGCACGCAAGATTTCCACCCTACTATATCTAGCTGTAAATTCTATTTGTCCTTTGAAAACTCAGTCCACAAGGACTACATCACTGAAAAACTGTACAACCCCCTGTCTTTGGGCACAGTGCCAGTGGTTCTTGGCACAACTAGACAGAACTATGAGAACTTTGTTCAAGGAGATGCCTTTATCCATGTGGATGATTTCAAATCACCCAAAGAGCTGGCCGATTACCTGCATCTCCTGGACAAGAACCAGGAACTGTACCTTGCATATTTTAAATGGAGAAAGCACTTTAAAGTCCAAAGACACACTTTTTGGACAGAACATGCATGCAAGGCTTGTGAATACATAAGAAAACATAAAGAATACAGGGTAATAAATGACCTCATTAAGTGGTACTGGGGCTAATGGCCCTTAGATGGAATTTGCAACACTCTTTACCTTTTGAGAAAGTGGTACTCAGGACACAAAAAATATGTTGCTCTTGAGGACAAATGTTCTATTGAAAATGTGATATTACAATATGTTACAATATTAATAATATTAAAACATAGCAATCCAGTTGAAAACGTTATCATCTAGCCAGAGTCCAAGGTAAAATATGAAGGTAGTTTAACACAACTGAGATTTCTGTTGCTGATTCTAATATGTCTAACAATATGAAGAAATTTTGAAGCCACTGCAATAATTAATTACATACAATGTTACCATGGAAGCCCTGTCATAAGACAGTTGCTACCTGATCAAGTTATGAATTGGATTTTATTCGGAGTCGACAAAGGAAAGAAAAAATGTAGAAAAAAATTAAAACTTTTTCCTTTAGAGTTTCTTTTGGGTTTCTCTCCATTGCTTTTCCTATATATATATATATATATATATATATATATATATATATATATATATATATATATATATATATATATATATATATATATATATATATATATATATATATATATATATATATATATATATATATATGGAAAGTGGAACTTCAACATAATAGACTGTACTTCATATTCATAAAAACATTTGTTAAATGGGGTTTTCTGTGTGATTAATTTGTTGCTGCATTAATGAAGAAAATTATGTGTCATATACATATATATATATATAAATGTTTTATGTCTCTTTTTATGACAGTGGAAGAACTATATTTGCAGTCTATTGTAACCTTTTGGGTGGTGCTTTAAATAAGTCATATTGTATCAAAGTAAAAAGGTACACTTACACTTCATTGCAAAAATAGAGAACATGTTTCTAGAGCCAGGGGAATTTGGGTAAGCTATTTTTATATCCAAGTTGATTTTTATGAAATGGCATTTAATGTCTTGAGAAAGATGTGCCAAAATTAACCATAATAGTTTATAATAGTTTTTCCAGAACAACAAGATTTTGTGATACAGTGCGGTAGGTCATTTTGAGGAAAAGGGTTTTGTTTTGTTTTTTTATTGTACTTTTTTATATTTTGCCTGTTGTGTTCCAGTTGTATATAATTGAATACTGAATTGAATAAAGATATGGATAACTGAACACACTTTGATAAATGAAGTATATGGTTCTTTTACAGAAAATCAACATCAAAGGTGGTGCAAGTGAAACTGATAAGAATCTTTTGATTGAACTTTTGCTTAAGCTTCACACGGATGGTTAATGGCAGCAGTAGTCCCTTTTGTGGCTTCATAAAGAAATAAAACAATGCTAAACAGATACGTTTTGTTTTTAGAAATAAAAGCTGGAGCAGATATAGTTGAAGCAGTGGCTCCTTAAATCGTATCGTTTTAGGAAAAGACAGAGTTAAGAAAAGAAAGACAAGGCCAAGTGTTTGATATTATTATTTTATAAGTAAAATTAGTAATAATAAATTTTTAGTCAACATTAGGCACAAAAAAATAATATTTAAAGTAAACTATAGAATTGTGATTGTTGAGCTACCAGCACTTAATTATGAATATGATTCAATATTTGGCAATATTTGGATCCATAATTGATAACCATTTACCAACTTCACCGCAAAAGTTAAATATAATACTGAATTGCGCTTTTTTTTCCAAATAGCAAATATTAATCATCTTGAATTATAATAACAGACTTGGCATTTGATAACTATCAGCTAAAATCACAGTAAATGGTACCATGGTATTAAATCAATATCTCTAGAGGCTAATTTTTATATGATACAACAGATCATACAAGAGTTTCATAATAAAATAAGAAAAAAAAGTGTTTCTCTTATCCATCTGAGATTTTTTAAATGAAAACCACTCTTCTTGCAATGCAACTATTCAGGTCCTACAAATTGCCTAATTAGACCAGTAACATTATCTTTTTAATAACTGAGGTTAGATCACAGAATGGATCAACCCAGAGTTTTCTATCGATTCAAGCTTGAAATATGGTGCCATGTTCTCTGTGGGTTCTGCACTAGAGGTGTTTCAGCACTTTCTTGTTGCAGGGCCAGCTGGTCAGTTGTTTTTGTTAGGGTAGGGCCATGCTCTTCCTGCCACTTGTTTTTTTATAAGTTAGGCTTCAGAACCTTCTTTGGTCAGCAAATTGAATATCAGGGATTAGGGTTTGATAGTTTGGGCAGTCTTGGTGGAATTTAGATAGTTCCCAGTTTGGTTTTAGGGCCACATTATGCTGCTGCCATTCGCCTGTGATTGGATGTGCAGGTGTCACCCTCCCATGATAGCGCTAAGTGAACAGGAAGGCCCATAGGTTTCAGATGGGAAGCTGGCTCCTTGGTAGATGACTGCCCTCTGTCCTTTCCTTTACATCCCAGGACACCTCCCTCTGTCTCTTTATCATACAACCACTCAAGTAGGGCTTTGGAGTGCAGGTGGTCACTGGAGTGTAGGGACAGTTTTCTATTTCTTCGTTCTTGATTGTACAATTTAGACACTATAGACACTATAACTTACAACATTTTCTTTACATGTAGATGCAGGAGTTTGGTGGTATGTTCATATTTTGACAGCCAAAGTTGGATTTATTTTATTATGTTTGCATAAAGTACCTTTACTTAACTCCAAATGTTTAGATGCTTAGACATTGAGATAAGGATAAGGGTTGAGAGTAGGGGCATGTTGGCACTAGCTGGCAGGTTCTAGCAGGAAATACATTGTGTTACTTTCATTCCAGTAAAACACTCTTAATTACCCTCTTCCTTGCCTTACCTGCTTTACAGCCCATCTACTTGTATATTTGAATGGCTGTGGGTTCAAAGATGGGTTTGTGCACACCTTGACGCATTTCAATTTACTGATACCTTTCTGTGAAAGATAGAAATGTTCTCTTAGATTTTGGGACTGTGTAAGACATAAAACTATAAAAAAAATCAAGCACGAATCATAAAACATAACAAATTTTCACATATTTAAAACTCTACGTCTTCTGGTTCCCTCTGCAACTGGAGAGCGATTTAACACGTAAGACTATAAGGGAGTAGGTAATCATGATCACTTGCTTATAAGTGGTAAAGGTTTAAAAGAAAGATCCAGTTCTTCAAGTACTGGGGGAAAAAGCAATCTTACTTCTTAAACTGATTGTCAGTGTTTTTAATATAAATATGAACACAAAAACTGATGTCACATGACTTCCTACAGATATTTAGATCACACAGTGTAAATGGGCAAAGCATTGTGCACTGCTAATTCGTGGAAATTAAGAATTTAACAAGTGCAGGTAAGCCACTGTTGGCTTTAAACATTTTCCCAAGTGTCAGTGATCATCAAGCATTCCACCTCTTCCCCCGTGACTGCAGAGATTACAATAAAATCTCATCTTTCAGGTTTATGCAGTTTACCCGTTCTAAAGACTGAGCATTTTAATTGCAAAACTGTGGGAGTATCTTTTTCCTCATATACCTGATGTGTGTTAAACACCACTTTAACTGTGGTAAACTGTAATATGCAAATCATGGTTCTGCTTTTAGTTTCCTTTTTCTTAGGAATAGGAACAAAAATAACATACGTTTATGGAAATCACAACTTTTGGCTTTTATAATATACTTTTTAAGCTTTTTCGCACTAAGGAGAAAAAAAAAATCATTAAACAAATATTAATTCTATTTTCCCTGTTTCAAGTTGCTTGACATTGGCTGCAGGTGTTTCTCATCTGGTCAGTTGACATCTCTTTTCCTTTAGTCTTGGGCGTGGACAGTTCTTTTGAATAGGTGTTTAAATACGATTTTATTCAACGTGCTGTATTTACTTTCAGAAATATCTGTCTCTGTCCATACATACATACATACATATATATGCCTGCGGGCAGGCGGATGGACGGACGGACTGAGACTTTAGACTTACTTAGACAAACTTTATTGTCATATTGTATACACAGTGTATACAGAAAGAAATTTAATTTTGTACAGCTCTCATGACAGTTCCATTTCTTTCATTTCTAGATAGATAGATAGATAGATAGATAGATAGATAGATAGATAGATAGATAGATAGATAGATAGATAGATAGATAGATAGATAGATAGATAGATAGATACTTTATGAATATGATTAAAGCCTTTCTGTGCACAAAAAACCTGCATCTCAATGTGAAAAGATAAGAAGTACTAAGTCTTAACCAAATAAACTCATTTTTAGACAGAGGTGTTCAGTAATAGCAGTAAAAGAAACTTGAATAATCTACATAAGTATATATATATTTTTTATCTGTGCTTTAATAGAGTATTTATTTTCCTGAGGACTTTTTAGGTTGACTCACTACATTTGAACAAATATGTTTATACATTCTACTCTCTACTTTCCAAAAACTGGCTAGTATATTTTATATATATATATATTGATAAAAATATGACATAGTAGTAACAGCGAGGCAGGGAAAATTAAGAGCACATATATGAACACTGGGCTGCTGGAAAACATTGTATATAATAGATCATATTGTGAGGTGCTTCTCTGTTAGACTTTAAATTTCCAAAGGTCTATGTTAATTCTAATGTTATTTTCGATTTTAATCTTTAATCGTGTAAATAATAGAGCTCTGAAAGTATCAGCTGCTAATGCAGGACTTCATTTCAATCTACAGCATATTACCCCCCAATCCTGTGTAGTTAAACCAGTTTGGCAGTGTGTGTGTGTGTGTGTGCGTTTGTGTGAGGGTTGAATGACTTTGCATAAAGGAGAGGTTATAATTAAATACCAGGGAGGAACAAAATGAACCTGTTTAGATAATGTTGTAAAACAGACAGACAACAAACTAGTCTCACACAGAAATATTATCTACCTCTTCAAACGTACTAAAATTAACCCACTTTCAATGCTGTCATTTATATTATGGCACACTATACCTAATTGGCAAGCTTTTTTTTTTATCAGTGTTTTTCAATAAGATAAACTGAAATACTTATGGTGTACTGCAATCGTAAAATAAATCACAATGTTGTCAATTTAAATCAAAACCAACTTGTAAGGCATTTTAAAGATCGGTGATTAGTTAAAAAATATTCCAATCAAGCATTCAAAATGTATTCCTAAGATAACTGTATATATTCAATTCTAACTTTATCTTTATGTATTCATCCATTTAAAACTAAATGTATCAACGCTGTTTTTCTTTCTTTTTTCGTCTCTCATATGAAGGAGTGAGGGCTCACTCAGGACCTGCAAATTTAAGATCAACCACACCTCAGCAGATCGTCAAAGACTTTTTTTTTAAACTTTAAAATAAAAGAGGCATATCTGAGTACAAACCAACAGATCAGTTCACATAGCACTGATTCAGGAAAGGGCTTTGTGTGGATCCCAGCATACAGAAAACAGGTATGTTAAGCAAGGCGACTGAGA